GGCCTCTGCTCTGCTTCAGGCTAGGTAGGGGACAGTAATTGCCCAGCACAGTAAGGAACCCATCCGCCCTCACTGCCCTCCCTCCCTGCAGCACAGGCATCCACACCCAGCCAGAGAAAGGCACCCTTTCCCTAGCCTGGGCCACCACTTTGCACTTGCTGCAGCCCTCACTCGCTTTCTTCAAATGTCATCCTTCGACTTGGTCCTTTCCTACATCCTGGACTAGAACATATTGACAGAAGGGTCTTTTTTCTTCCCATTTGTTTTCCTGGGGACTTTCTCTTGTTATCAGGTCTCAGCAACACAGAGGGGCCAGTCTGAGATCTGAAATGGGCTTCTGCCCAACCTGTTGCCATGGCTTGTTGCATCTCCTTATTGTTTTGATGCCCAAGGTCTTTCAGTATGGGTCCTGTCTGGCTACAGGGCTTGAACAGGGAGGGGTGCTGCCAGTCTGATTTGGCTGCAGTAATCAACGTGGTTTTGGTGGGACACCAGTTGTACCATTGCCCTGGGGGATGAGCTGACTGGGTCCTAGCTTGCTCTGGTCCTTAGGCTCACAGGACACTCAGTTTCTCAAAGAGGATAATGCTACTATTGAAAAGATAGAAAGGTGGGAAGAGAAAAGATAAATAGAAAATGGAATAGAAACAGAACACATGCATTAGTCAGCCTTTTCAATGCATAATAAAAAGCATTTATATGAGATTAAATTCAAGCTTTGTGTAAGTGGAAGAGAGACACTGTGCTTGCTTTCTGCAAGAGACTGAATTTTATCTAAGCAGCTTTGCACAAATGTTGACATCTCCAAACCTACCTCTCCTACAATTTCTTTTAATAATCTGATGGCTCCTTCTTACACACCAAACAGTTTGCTTTCATTTTGAAATCACCAGTCGTTGACTTGCTTCCTGTCTATGGTTGTTTTGTTTTATTGCTTTGCCTTTCAACTGCCCTTCCCTAGCACTTTTTATGATATTTGCTCCAATACAGAGAGCTTCAACACTGTTGGTATTCTTCCTTGTAAAAATAAAATACAAAACAAGGCACATGAAAATATTAAGAATTTGTTGTCACACTTTTTAAGGATTGTACTGTTGAGGATAAAAACAGGCACTGACATGAATGTAAAGGGGTAAAAGTGGAAAAGATAAAACAACTACAGCCTATCACGTTGAAACAAATCTTTCTTTTCTATGTGTATGGTGAAATATGCTCATAGAGACTTAATAATTTCTTTGTAAGAATTTGGGAAATCTCTCCACATCTCTTTGTTTCCTTAGTCTAAATATTCATATGTTTTCCAGCCTTTCATCACTCTCAAGCACTTACTCCCCCCTAATCTTTTCTCTATCTATTTCTATATTTTTCATGTACTATCTACCTGAGATCTTGTGCTAGCTTCCCTCTTCTATTTAGTATTTCATAAATAATTTTACAAATTCAAAGGAAAAAGTAGTCTTTTTTCCCTTATGCCCTTAAATTGAACCATCTTCTTCCACAGGTTGGAAGGACTCATTGACAGGCACACACAACCTAGTTGTATTTAATCTCTTTTCTGTCACCCCATTTCATTCAGAAAAGAAAAAAGGAATATTGAAACACTATTTAACCTTATTATCACAGCTAGATGAAGAAGTCCCCCCTGCTTCCCTGTTCCTATCTTACGTGACTCACTTCCTAAGCCAGACACTGTCTCTTTGGTACCTTTTACTTTTGCATGCATTAATGTGCATCCCCATACACATGTAATTTCACACTCAGTTTTCTGTACTCTTATGATCCAGAGGTCAGTGTGTGACAAACCGTTCCCTAAAAAGTGACAGAAGAGTAAAGGCTCAGACAAGTTTTTAATCTAGAAAGGGAAGATACTGAGAAGAGATATAATGAATTTTATATACGTAAAAGGTAGTTGCAACAAGGAATGGAGGAGATCTTTTCCTTGATTGTTGTGAGTAGGACAAGAAATAGTATGTTTTACTTTGCAGCAATGGAGCTTAGAAAAACCCGTTTTGTAGTTACAGTAGTGAGGCACTGGAATAAATTGTCTTTTAAAAGCATGGAGTCTCCAGAAAGGAGACTTGTAAGCACTGGTTAGAAAGCCATTTCCCAGGACTAGCATGTGAGTGATTGATCCTGTTGTGAGACAGAGGTGGGTTAGCTCCCTTTCAACCCTGTTTTTTGCCATTCTTCCGCACTTTGTTGCAAGAAAGTAAACTTATGGGCTAAAGGAAGCAATGTCATATATGAGCAGTGATACACAACAAAATAGACTATTTGCATCAACCACTGCTGGAGGAAACCTTGTTGAATATATTCCTATAGAGGAACAACGTATGCTCTACTACGAGACAGAGTCAAAAGAAATGTCCGAAGAGTTAGAAGAAGAGATAAAGGGAGAATCAGTGATACCAAATTAATTACATAAATCGGTGACCATATAAATCAAGAACAATCTGTTTACTATGTGTAGGTTTAGTGTGTTTTAGTGTGCTTAACCTATGTTTAGTATGTTAGAAGACCTCAGGATACACATTTTCATGGAGCAGGTGAACTACAGCATCTCTTCCTTAGAAATATCCTGCTGTATTCTGTTGTTGGTAGGAGGCTAAATGACTTTCAGGTATTAAATCAATACTGAAGTTCCCATATTTCTCTGTATGTTGTACTTGGGGGATTAGGAATACCCGCTATATGCTCATATCAATAGACATGTCGGATGAACTGAATATGTTCTGCTATCTGTTTCATACAGCAGCTGTGCTAACCTGATCTAATGGTCCTTCCTGAGCTTTGAATATACGTGAAGCATCTGGCTTTGCCAAGAAAATGAGGCTAAACTGTAGAACTTTGTTTGTAAGGCATGAAAGATGAAATCAGAGTGTGGTGGGTCTAAGCTATTGTCAGAAAAGTTACTCTTTTGCTTAAGATAACCTGTCCCCTTTTCACAAAGACCCTGTGTTTGCCATTAGATAGCACATACAAGCTATCTAATTGGTGGGAGTTTTTCAAGGGGAGGATTAGATAATTCTGTTTATTTATGTGACTGCAAGCTAAGGCAGTTCTCAAGGCCTTGCCCTTTAACTTGTCCTGTCACTATAACAGAAATAAAGAGCTGATCTAGCTCAGGTCTTTGACAGTAATCATGCGTGAGCAGTTTGGCCAAGATCTAATATTGCGCTTACTGCCAGGTCACAGGGAGAAAAATCTTGAGGTCTTTTCATTTCTTCCATCTTACCTGTGCAACAGAAAGACAGCTTAGTCAGTGCTGAACAAACGCCATGATCTGATTAAGGGTTTATCTAAAATGAGAGCACAAGAGAAATGTCTTGTTTCTGACACTGTGTTGGTCTGGAGATGTTTTTCAGGCTCTAGAGTCACAGAAGTCAGTGGAAGCCCTGCCACAAACTGCAGTGGTCAGGCCCTATTCAGGGTCTATCTGCTTGGCATCAACCTTGTAAAAATCCTCCATGTCATTTCTATGGGGCCATCGGTTGAGGTGCTCTAGGAGGAGCCCCTCAGAGCCACCTCCAGTTATCCAGTTATCCCACTCCTTTTATGGGCCAAAACTAAATTGCCTCATCTCCTATGAAGAATTTAAACACAACATTGGTTAAACAATGACAAGGTTATGTCAGAGAGCTCCATTTTGCAGTCTCTGACAAAGACATCCAGGCAATTCCTCTGGTGGTTTTGGCTTACTGTGTGCCCCTTCAGCCAGAGAAGTGTCTGCTCTGTCTAAAGTGCAACATGATAAAGAGGTCAGAAGTAAGTAATACATTTACCCCATTATTACAGGGACAGAGCTTCAACTAGAAACTCATTTTGAACCCATGAGTTGGCATAACCATGGGAGTTGCTTGTCATTTTAATGATGTCTTTGCAGCACGCCTGGAGAACCAGAGGGTTAACACAGCTTCGCTTTTCAGAAGGGAACTGCACCATCCTGGTTCGCCCACCTCTCAGCCATGCCTGGGTGGGTTTCCCACGGCTGCGCCAGCCCCCCTGGCCCAGGCACCCCACTCGGGGTGGCGGCAGACGGAGGATGCCCTTTGGGGCTGCAGCAGTGCTGTCAGTGCGAAGCAGGGCTGCTTGCCTGAGTCCTGCCAGTGCCGCACAGGCTGGGGGGAGCAACCCACCTCCTCTCCCTGCTGCACTAACGGGGGCTTTTCCCTTTCCCTTGCCCTGCAGGGCAGCTGAGAGTATCCTGGGGAGGGTAAGCAAGCCCCGGGAGGAGGAGGGAGTCGGGGGAGACCATCCCCTCTCTCTGCTGCTGTTGCTGAAGCTGTGCCGGAGCCGTCGATGTGGCTCCCCAGAGTTAGTTGCTCAGCAACCAGAATCAATTAATATGCTTTGCAGAAAGTGCAGGGGAAGCCCGAGCTGCTGTCAGCGAGAAGGCAGGAGGCTGAGGGTGACTCAGGATCCCACTCCCTCCTGACACCCAGTCGGTCCCACCCCATCCTTTCCAGACCCCCGTTAGCCACCGGTCGTTATCCCTTTCTTCTTCCCTATGATACTTAGTGTGTGTGTCCCCAAATCCTTCAGGCAAGGTATCTCCTTGCTCAAGAACTGTCCTGCTTTGAGGGTTTTGCTTTAAGATCTAGTTTGTATTTTTGGGTTATTTGTCAAGCTTTCTTCAGCACTTTTCTAGAAATTCTAGTATTCATGTTCTTTGGGAAGGGAAAGGGACAGCTGATGTTTTTGTCAGGTGGTTTAAAGATTCCTCAGGATGAAAAGGGTTGTTTGGTAGTGCACAGTTGAGCAGCAGTAATGAAAATGCATCATGTGTGAACTGGGAAAGTTTTTGCCTCTTCCTTTATTACAGGTAATCAGCACTGCATATATGAGACCAAAGAGGTAGTGCTGGTTGTTGTGAAACACATAGGTAACAGAATAAATGAGGGGTGGTTGTTTTTTTTTTCCTTCTCTGTTTCTGCATAGTAATTTCAGGGCTTCGGTAAGGTATTATTTTCTTTTTTTTCTTTCTTTCTTTGATTTTCTTTGGAGTCCCTCTGATGACACCACGAATCTGGGAATGAAGAACTTCTTAGAGCTGATTGGAAATGGCATTGCGGAGCTGAAACTTAACTGGAGGAAATATATCTCCTGACGAAGAAAATATAATGCACTGTAAGGATCTGACTTCTGGTGAAAAATTCAAGCCTAGAGAAAACTTGTCCGCTTTGTTAGGAAGAATGGGTTGGACAATTTTCTTCAATTCCAAAGGATATCTGAATGCCATGCTGAGCTTAATCTCTGCAGCATGCTCTGTGCTTCTCATCTCTTCCTGATGCACTGCATGGTAAGGCCTTTTTCCTTCCTTTTAATAACCATATTTCTGTTATGGTGAGAGGTAAAAATAATAGCAATAATCAAATGAAAATTGAAAAAATGTAGAAAGCTAACAAAAGATCGTTTGTTTGTATGGTTGTTTCCAGGAGCAAGTGTCCTGATTACTGCAGCAGCTTTGTAAGATCATTTCTGTCTTTCTCCCTCGCTTTGTGAGAGTGTGTATGTGCGTGTGTGTGTTTGTGCACACCTCTGCTGTCACTTGCACTTGGACTTGGAACATCAGTAGCTGTATTGTACATATTTCCATGCTAAAGAAGATGTTTAAGAATTTGCTTTGACATTTCTCTCTCTTTTTCCCTGCCTCCATTCCCCTCCTCCTGCCTCCTCTTTTTCTTGCTCTGTCTGTCTCTCTGGGGTCATGGTGCTATACCTTCCCTGTATCTCAGTTGTACACTGACCACTAGAAGGCAAAAATAGAAGGTAAAAAAAAATCCTGTATCAACATAAGGATAGTTCTGAATAAGTATTATAGGAGTAAATAAAAGCTACAGAAAGGTTTTGAATGTCTGCAAGATCTGCAGGTACAAAAGATTTACTTAATTTTGCTTCTCATTGGAAACAAATATCAAATGCAGACTTGGATGCTGGATACAGTGGGAGGCAGATCCTTTTACACATGTCAGAAAGACAAAAAATGACCACTGTGAATTATGATAATGTTACTCTTGATGACCCAAGTCATAAAATAAGCAAACCCAGTATGAGATGATCTCATATCAAGTAATTTTTGTCATGTATTAGCGGGGTATTGAGAATTATTATAAATTACTTCAGTGGATGTTGCAAGTTATTCTTCATTATCAGCTGTAATGTGCTTTCATCTTCCTGGATGAAAAGTGCTTAGGGGAGTGCAAGGTGATGTTATTAACTAACTACCTGACTTACCAAAATTTAGGGTCATTATCAGGAAATTGCTAAGCATGTCGGAAATCATATAGTGAGTGTACTGAGATGGAAGAACAGGATAGTTTTCCAGAAAGCCTGGTTTACTTGGATCTCTGTTTCAGAAATTAGGGTGGAACTAAAAGATGAAAGAGTAGTGGTGTGAAATATATATATTTTCTTATGCATTCTGGTTGATCACTGAGTTTGGAAGAGGGAGAGTTGAGTGCCTCTTGAGGAGCAAACTGTGGTAAGGGCCTGCCCCTGCTCTGAGGGTAATCCCTCACAAATCCCACTGCTTTTGATGGGGTTATAAAGAGTCCAGGAGCGGGTTTGTGTGGTGGTTGTTACAGGCTGTCCAGCTGGGTATGGAGGTGACAGGTTTCTAGCAGCAGGTTTTGAGGGTGAGCGGGATGGATGCAAAAAGCCAAAGCAAAAAGGCCAGGCCAGGCCACACCAGGACTCATGAACAAGAATCAGAGCTTAAATCCTATTCAAAAGATGGAATTTTGTGGTAGATCCCAATACATCTCCTCCTTGTATGATAAAGGACTCCGTAAAACAGTTTTTAGAGAGAGAATGGTAATGCAGCTTTTTCAAATCACTGCAGTAGGAGTAAACAGAGACGATACAAACACATTCCTGTAGTGTGACAATTTTTCACTTGATTTTAGGAGTAAAGGTTCAAAATATGCGTACATGTGCATAGAATTAGATTTTTTGTGCATTTTACCATCTAAAACGTGTGACTGGTGTAAGAACCAATAAGGAAAACTGAGGAAAGACAACACAACCCATAAATGTCATCTTCAAATCTTCACTGTAAAAACAACCTCTTACTTGTGGAAGTAGTCCCCTCAGCAATTTATGTGAACAAAGACTGCATCCTAAATTCACGTTTCTCATTGCAAATCTCTCCTCACATCAGCAGTTCTATTTCAATCAATGGGACAACTCGTATGAGTAAGAACTACTCATGTGAATTAATTATGAAAGGTTTTATAAGACCAGGCTCTTTGATTGTCATGGCAACAGATTTATTAGGCTTCAGGCATAATTTGTATCTCCCTTCTAAATAAAATCATTTTTCCCTTTACCCATGTGCATCCTTTTGCCTTGTAATTAGGACAAGAAAAATAGGTTAATTACATTCTTAAAGATCATGCAACTGTACACATACATTGTTAGTGAAGAATTATCGGAGTATACAAAAGTTTACTTTTATTAGTGGTCTCCAAATCCGAGAGAAGTGTATTCTTATTGGAATAATTCATTGCCTTATTCATTTTTGTGACAGTACTAACATTGCTACTAGGTATTGTCAATTCTTCCGGCAACTCGTCAAAAAAAAAAAAATCCTTTAAAATATCACTGATCTTATAAAAGTACTCATTATTATTAGATTCAAGGATACTTACCAAGCTTTCTACTACATTAAATATATTCATTTTTTAGTTAATACATGATGTTTAGCTCTTTAGTTGATCCAGGAACATATTTATCTTTAGGGTATAGAAACACAATTATAAAATCATAATTATAGTAAACTTCCTACAGAATATAGATATATATTGAAATAGGAAGCATAAAATCATCTGGATTTTCTTTCCTTGTGCAATGTTGCATGCTTATAAATCTTTATATTATTAGGATATATATTACATAACAAGTAATATTTCCTTCATTGTAATTTGTAAAGAACAGTTCCTTTTCAGAATACAGTGCATAGGATTTTTTTTTTTGCACTAGATTGTGCATTATGGAAGAAAGAAAAGTATTAGAAAAAGCAAACATAGCAACCTTTAAAATGTATTCAGTACACTAATGCAGCAATAGGTTCATTTGTTTCTTTTATCCTTATAATAGCACCATATACATAGCAAGAATAGTGGATTATTTTCTAAAGAGTGTGTGATTTTGAGAAAGAAGGTTTCGCACTATACAGGATGTTCGTTGTCTTTAGCAGACATTTCTGTCAATGATTTACTGTGACTTAGAACTCTTTCTATAGTGACATTTTTAATCATTTACTTTAAACATTTGCACAACAGCTGTATTTGGCTTTCTCTGACAATTCTAAAGCAAGTAAAATTAGTAATTTCCTTTTCTTTTAAGATACTATTCAATAAAGATCTGATGCTGAAAACACATGTATTTCAGTCCATTGAACTGTTTCTTTAGACAAACCATGTGAATTAGCTTGAACCATGTGTATTATCAGGGAAGTTATACTGAACAGTGGAAATACTTTCCACACTTGCAGCACTATTTCTAGTCAAGAAATATGTACTTTAATAATACAACGCACAAGCAGTTCCTGTACTTGGAATGAATTGAGCTGTCTTGATTCAGGATCCAGCAAAAACCTGATTTTTGAAAGGCCCACAAAAACAAAACCAAATGAGTCTTAAATTTTTTTTGCTTAAACATAAATAGCCACAGAAAGAATATTTATCCAACAAGAAATTTCAGTAGATCAGCATCTGTGTTTTTCATAAACCAGAATAAAAATTGAAAAGGCATAATATTTTTTAAAAATGAAAAGGTCTAAAAATCCATATGTACGGAAATACTGATTTCAAAATGACACAACATTTCACTTTAACATTTTTAATCAGACTTTCATTTGTTACAAGAAATTGTACTGACATCTGTGTATCTGTTTTTCTCAGTGAAAATCTGCAACACTTAATTTTTTTTTTTTTTTTTACAGGGAAATGGTTTTTTACGTATTTTTGACTAGATCTGTTATAGCTGTCCCAATATTTATTGGCTCTCACAGGTCAGCTTTTTAATTAGAAGCTTTCTGAAGGGCCATCTTTAGCACTACATATTGTATAGCCCCATATTACTGTTACTGAACAGCAGTTTTTACCAGGTCTATGGTAGACGTAAGCTCTGATTGTGATTCCCTCCTTTAATTCTTGTGTCTTCAACAAAAAGCAGGCCTCCATTTTGCTGAGAGTTTTACAGATACCAGAAGAAGTAGTTTCTATTACAAAAACCTTCAAGAGGCCTTCAAAAGTCATGCAGGCAAGGAGTAGAATTAATCTAGTATTCATATCCTTATTAAATAGATAAGGAATTGAGGAACAAAGAAACTGCTCAAAGCTATACTGGCAAGGGAAGAGTTCGGAATTGAACCCAAATGTCCTTATTCTCAGTTCATCACTGTCCCTGCAAGGTTGCTCTTCATTTTGTTCATTTTTTTGTTTAATGACTTGCATTTGGACTTTTAAGTTAATACTAGTTGAAGTATCAAATGTGAAAAGGAATTATTGATGCGTACTTCCTTCCCAGTCTGACACAGTTGTCCTGAAAATTCTTTTTTTCTCTCCCGAGCCACTCTGTTTGAATGTAACCATTAATTATGTAATTGCTTTACTACACAGGGGAAGTATATCCTAGATTAAACAGAAAATTACTAAATAGAAATATCCTAAACATGCCATGCAGGTTCTGGGGGATGTACATATGTATCTGTTTATGCTGTCAGGGTTTAGGGATAGCTGTTGGGGTATGTAACGGTTTTGAGGGCTCTTGGTAAATGAATCAAATTTCAACACAGAAAAAATCCAGTTAAAACATAAAAAGGCTGATGGCTTGCTATCTAGAATTCACACAGGTCATTATGAATCCAGCACTTGTGTGTAAAAATGTGACACAGAGAATATGGTACTTAAGAGTGATTCTTATTAACCCTGGTATGTCTCCTCTGTCCAAGGTAATCTCTCAGCTTTTTATCCTCTTTATGAAAAAGGAAAAGGCGGTTTGTACAAAAAGTACTTAGCTGCTAAAATTACATCTAAAGTTGGACAAAAAAATGTGCCTTAGCATCTTAATACAAACCCAGGAAAATTTTGTACATGTCGAGAAGGAAAAAAAGCTTTTTGCAAATGTGCCAGAGTTTTGGAATGAGTTCTGCAGCAGAATATCCCAGAAGCTTAAGGGGTATCTGCCTCACTCTGGTCTACTTATACAGCTCTGGGTGTGACACACCTCTGGATGCTGACAGGTACTGTACTTACCCAATTACCCAATGACTTATTAACATAGAAGACTATGGAA